CCATAGGGGTGACTGCAAAAGGCTTTAAATCAAATACAGAGAATCCGTCTGAAAATGAGCCAAAATGCCCCTTTTCCAACCCACACCCCAGTGTTAAAGTCTGTGTGAACCGAGGTGGAATGGGAAAACTGTAGGTCATCAAGAAGGAGGGGAGGAATGGAACTCTCCAGTTGTTTTTTAGCTGAAGTCAATAATTGGCAATAACATCCCTTGATTGTTAAAGGGTATAAAAAGTAAACGCTCAAAGGGGTCATTGCTAATGCCTGCCTGACCACACTGGAGCCAACCAATATGGATCTAAGCACCCTTGGGCTTAGCCTGTTTGTAACTATGCTGCTTATAAATGTTTTGTTACTGTTTGGATGTAATAAATTGCTTATTATTTAGGCTTTTTAGACATGTTTAGAGCAACTGTATAAAATACCATTTGGTCTCAGGACTTAATAAAGGAATTTATGCTTAAACTGGTGTTTGGTGGTTTCCCATATTAATAATTTCAAATATTATTCAAATAATTCCAATAACAACAACAAACTGAAAACAATTTTGACAATAGTCAGTTGTATCCTTTTAGTCACAATTTTAGGGTTACATAGTCTACTTATATTGTAGCTAAACTCAAATGTAAGAATACTTTCAAGATTTTAAAACTGAAAGGACCATAGACCACATTCTGCTGCCAGCCATTACAGAGTAAATCAGAATATCTCCATTAAAGTGAATGGCATAACTTCAAATTCACACTGGTTCAACTGAAATCATATTCTAGCCCCAAGGCTAAACTGTCAAGGCCTGATTCTCCTCTCACTAGTGTAACACTATTGATTTTAGTGCAGTTATTCCTGATATACACTGGTATAAATGGAAGGATAATTGGGCCATGTGATGGTAAGAGGCCAGCACAATTCATGCTTATAATTTTGAGGGGCTTCCTTTCACAGATAAAAGGCCAGAGAGGTCCAATCTATTTCCACTGAAGAGCACCACGTCTGGTGTTAGAGTCAAGTTTCTGTCTCACCTCTTTCAGAACAATGTGCTGTGGTAAATATAGGTACTGTTAAGGTCTCTTCGAAAGGCAAAGAATGCCCAGCTTTGCTTAAGACTTTTCCATCTCATTGCTGTACATTATTATCCTACTAAAAAGGGTTGTCGTTCAAGAAGTCTGTTGCCCAGGATGCTTTATTTATTACTGTATATGACAATATTTTCCTGCCTATCCAACAGTAAGTAGATGTGTGAACAAAACCATAATTAGCAAGGGCCAAACACATCAGCCACAAAACCAAACCATTTCGCATGTTTGCCACTGAAATTAACCACCCTTCCATTCCATCTCCTAAAAAACCCAACCCAACCCAAGACAAAAACAAACCGCTCCAACAGGTTACCTGTTTGTATTATGTCCTAAAGCAATCGGGGGGAGGGTTGCAAGATATCAGAAATTTATTCCAATCTACAGCAAAGAAAAACTCGCTCCCCTATACGTTTATCCTTCAAGGTCAAGCATTCTCTGTCAACCTCTCAAAACACACAAATTATATATAAGTGTATCATTGTTATAATTGAAACTTTTTTTACTCTTATAGTAAATGTAAATAGGGGTGCAAGTCACAAAAATGACTGCAAATAAGGGATTGTTAACCTGAAAACACAGTTTTAAATGTTGCCAAACTGTTGTTTGGCAGACCAACAAAGGTCAAACTTTCTAGAGCTGAGGATCTACCACTGAGAATTCATTGCCACTTACTGCCAGGAGTTCAATGCTAGGGATATACAGTGAGAATATCTTAGGCAATTGCAACAGCTAAGAAGGGACATAGCTGTTTGGAAAAGAGTTGGATCTAAGGCCACTTTATAGAATTGCTTCTAGCATGCATGTCTCAAAGCACCATTGTTCTCAGCACAAATATGGCACATGATAGGCAGACTCTATCAGATGTGTGGATTTGCAGATCATGCACCAGAACATTTTGGTCAGTCTGTGGCTACTGAATAACCCTATCTGGGGTACAGGATGGACATCATCAGCTTTCTTTAATACAAAATCCCACAATCCTAATGCAACCATTAGTGATATCCCTTCCTGTAAGCCAACATAACATTTACTCTGTACAAAAGGACTTGGTTTCCTTGTCCTTGGTAATGAGTGGGGACATAAATACAATCACTTTCTTTGATGCCCTTCTGTGTCTTTAGCACAAAATGCTCCAGTTTCACAACCATCAGTTTCACCAGTAATGATTCAGCTGTGGTTTTATTTTTCGTCTTTATGGTGTTATTACTCATAACTGGATCTATTTGAAAAATGCAAATTATTTTGTGTGGGATTTTTTTAAATTTCCCTTTTTTCAAAATTCCCCATAATCTATTTTTCTTCTTTTGACAAAAACTGAAAAAAGTTGGGTTTTGAAAAATATTTTCGTTAAAAATAATTTTTTGAAAACCAAATTTAAAATTTTACTGAAAATTTTGGTTTTCCATCAAAAAGCTCCAACATTTTTTACCAAAATAACATTTTTCTATGATTGTCTATAAATTTCTATACCAAGAAAAAACTGCTTGCTTCCTGAAGGCGACACTTTCATCTTTGCACGTCCATTCCTCACTGGTTGTAGCTACTGAAATCTATCAGGTTTCTACACTAACTCTCACTTTTTGTCTTTCTTGCATAAAGAACCCATGTTTCCCTGGGTGCTTTTCCTATCTGGGCTTTGGACTATGTACTTGAAAACCTAGCGATGTTCCAGGAATCTTAGAGTCATCTGCTCCACAAACACACAGGGAGGAAGGGAAAGGACAAGAAATATCCTCTACTTATGCTTCTGTGCAGCAGTCAGGTATGCTTTTCATGGGGCAATACACAAACTACAGAGAGTGGAGACAAGGTGGGGCAAACATGGGCATATACTGCACCTCCTAAAGAGGGGTAGCATCAGTGCACTCCCACAGTACCCTGAAGTGGAGGCCCCACTGGGAACATGTAGCTCTGTGGTTCCTCCAACAGTGGGGCTGTGTCTTTGACAGACAGCAGAACCCTTACAGAGCCATTTGATATTTCAACAAATCTCTTAGTGCTACTTCTTCGAGACTTACTTTGGTGGTAGGCTGTTCTTGATCTTGCTCCCACGTTAAAAGGGAAATTGTGGGACCTTCCTTCTTACAGCAACAAAGAACTGCTTAAATTAGGTGAATTTGAAAAAAACCAGCTCAACCTGTAGAAGCTGCTGACTCTTAAATCAAACATAATGAGAGGGCACCCTAGAAAATGTTACATATACTTCTAATTACTGGCTCTGAAGTGCAGCACTGTGATTGATAAATTCTCACCTTATTAGGACAGCTCTTCATGCTCAGGGACTGATGGTATCAACAGCATTTATGATCAGTGCTAGAGCATGAAATTTGCCTACTAAGGTATATAAGTCCATTTTTCCCAACAATATTCATTAGTTGTCTAACAGGCAGATTCTCCACTGAACAACATGCTTCCAATAAAGTCGTGAGAACACCACCAGTTTACTCCAGCTGAGAATCTGGCACAATAATTTTCAATATTTTTATATATATACCACCAGGTAAGAAGCAGGAACATGTAATTGCCGTACCAGTTAAAATAAGCAGCCCATCTAGTCTGGTACTCTGCCTCCGTCAATAACTGTTACCTGATGCTTCAAGGAGGTACAAGGAACTCCCTAACTGACAATTATATAATAACCCCTTTTAGAGGAAGTTTCTTCCAATCCTAGACAGTTAGTGGTTGGATTGTGCGCTGAAGTATGAGGTTTTTAGCCTCTTGAGTATAATTATTTTAAAAGCAATATACAATTGCTAAATATAGAAAAAACTGTCTAACAAAACTCTTATCAGCACAATCTTAAGGTATATATTTTAGTAATTATCCTAAAAAATCATTATATGGTGACTACTATTAAAAAGGCAAGTTTTGCCCAGCAGTAAACCACAGTAACTAAACCACAGTAACTAGACCACAGTAACTATGACAATGTAGTTCTGAGACTACTGCTCGTCTCAGAATAGGATAATGAGTGCCACATTTCAGATTCCTTTCTGTGGTAACTAGGTCAATAACAACTTCCTAATGATGACCACTGCACATCTAGGAAGTATCTTTAGATGGTAACACCTGACATCTGAAAAGAAAATGAAAAGATACGATAATATATCTTCACAAAATGTCAACTGCCCATCATTTTAGGCATATTTATCTCCAACACACATAAATTTGCCATTCTCACAAGTAGTTACATCAGAAATGCCAAATCATGAAACTGAACATTTAATCAATATAAATTATATCAGACACATCAATCCCACATCCTCTTAAGATTCCTGCACCATGACTTTGGTTAAATAAAGTGCTTAGGCATGTGCTTAACTTTAAGCACGCAAGTAATTCCACTGACTTCATGTTCCATGGAACTTTAAAGTTAACCACGTATTTGAGTGCTTTGCTGTATCTTGGCCTATTTTAGCAGGTTTCTCAGCATAGGGATAGGCTTAACATCTTCAATAAATAAAGGAAAATGTAGGTGATAACTCATAACATTGTCACATTCTGTAGTGTGGTCTGACTTGTAAAACTTTTCTCCTATGCTGTTAAATGCTCTAATAATGTATAAATTTCAATACCAGATTACAGGTCAGACTGCACACCACCTAAGTCAAGGTGCAAATTGTGGAAGATCAGAACGGGGTCCTGAGCATTGTTACCATTATGTTTGCAATATTTTGCTATTGAAGACCAATATAATGCCACCAAACACTGGCTTTGTTATTTTATTTGTAAAAAAACTTGGTCACAGTTTAGCATTTTCAAGCAATGAACATTTACATCTAAAGATTGCTTTGAACCAACTACAGTAATGTTGAATGTGTAAGAGTGATCTAAATATATTTAAGGTGTAATCTCAAAAGTATTTGTTAAAGAAATTCTATGTAATATAATTTGAAATTTACCTATCTTTCCATGGCATACTTACAGGTCGTCCATGAATACTCTCAAAATATAGCAGACATTTCTGAAGACTGATTTTTTCCAAAGCCATTTGCTTTTTTGTCATATCCTATTTAAAAGAGTTATTTATAAGGTTATGAGTCAAGATTTCATCTCAAGGATGTAGGAATGTATGTTTTAAAATGTACTTTTCCCAAACACTGATATAAAAGATCCTGTTCCTGCTCTCATTGAAGTCAATGGGAACTTTGCACTGAAATCAGTGGGAGAAGGCCCCAAGTTTATGTGAATCAAATGTATGTATTAATTTCTTGGGGGCTGATCCAAAGCCCACTGAAGTCAATGAACAGGACTTTGACTGCAATGAGCTTTGGATCAGGCATTTAGACGAGAAATAATATATTATACTCACTCTGCATTAGGGAAGTGAAGTCTTATTTAGGAAAATCCCCATGGACATCAATGAGAAGTTAAAGAATGCAAGAGCAGACCCCGGAAAATGTATTTAATGATCAGAAGTTTCTTTGTTAAGTATATAACTTTATAAAAATCTGAACCTTTGATTTAACTCATTTTCTTTCAAGATATCCAGTTTGTAAATGAGATTAAGTACCTTGCAACCTCCAAAAAGTATATTGGGACAATTATGTCCTTACCAATAAGTAAAATTTTCTGAGGACCCTGATTCAGCAAAGCTGAATATGAGTTTGTAGCATAGTTGGGACAGCCCTGTCGAAAATGTACAACACTTTTCCAACAATTGCAGTGGATCTGGGGCTCTCACTCTCTCACACATGGCCACGGTTTCTGTGGTCTATTGAACACCCAACACTATTCATTTTCAAAACTTGGGAATTCTACTAAACAGAGACTCACTTGAGAGACTGTTCAATACTGCCAAAGGCATCTCTGCAGATCACTGATACCAGTGTCATTCCCAAGAATGCAGGGAAGCTGATTTTTTTCAAATACAATTTGCAAATGCTAATCTACAAATATTAATATTTGTGTCTATATGCTGCAGAGTGAAGGTCCAGTCCTGCACTTCTTACTCAGGGAAAATCCCATCTGAGTCCCATAGAGAGTTTTGTCTGAGTACAGGCTGCATAATTGGGCCTAAAATGTGCAATCCAACACAAAAACAATTTTCTTTGCATTTTCTGCTGTAATTTTGTAAATCAATTATATAAGGCCAGAACCTCAGCTAATGTTAATTAACACAGATCCACTGAAGTCAGTGGAGATATACCTAATATACGCCAGTTGGGGATCTGGACCGTAGACTTTAGTAATTATCCGGATTCTAATTCATGGTGAATGACACTCACTATAAATGGTTATGAAAATTACTTTGGAGCGGTCGTTCCCACAAGAGCTTTGCACGGAGGGCCTCTGCACAAAACAGGATAGTCAGTCTCCTCAGCAACATTGTCCCCCCCACCCATGTGGAAGCACCCTCTGTGGCTCCAGGGATCTGTGGGTGGCATGTGGAGAACAAGGAAGAAGTAGGGAATCCACAGAAATGTTAATTCAATATGAATCACCTGTCCCCCCTCCAGCCCATGAAACCTCTCTCAATGGAGCGTTCAAGGGGGAGTCCTGAGCAGGGCCTAGCCACAGTCTCTCAAAGTGCTGTTCTGTACCACTAAGTGGGGCCACAGTAGGGAGCAGCATGCAGAGCTGGTGCAGTTTGCCATGGCTTCTGGCAGATCCCCAAGATCTGTGGGAGTTGGGGCCACTACATAGGAGGAACTGTGTGATGAGAACCTTTCCTCTCCTCCCCACGACTGCACATGTGCTATATTTCTGCTGAAGAGGGTGATTCCCCACTCAGTAAAGTATTTGCTGAACACAGAGTTGTATTTAGTGTGAAGCTTTTTAAAAGCATAGTGAAACGTGGCGTTTAGACCTGTATCATCAACCGCTAAGGGAGCCATCCTGGTCCTGCTGATGTCCAGGAGAGTTTAGTCCTTCATTTCAATGGGAGCAGATTTTGATTTATTTACGGACAATTCCAAGTTATCTCAGTTGGCCATCCAGACACTAAGGCACCCAAAAATCATTTATCACTTTAGAAAACCTTGGTCTTAAAACTCTGCACAATTTGATCACTTAAAAAAATTCCTATTCATTTTTTTTTTCTATAATAGCCACTATTTGGCATTCAGGCACCTAATGAAAGTGCAAGCTGCCCCATCACTAGTTTAACACGTAACACAAGTTAATTCTTCCAATAACTATTATGTCTATCCTCCTCTGAGTGTGCCTGTGACAGCTGGATGATTAATAGTAAACAGAGTGTGATCAATAATATTGAGTCCTACACGCGGGAACCAATATCAAAAGGGATACTGCACAGATCACCCATGTGGACCTATATTATTTACTACTTTCATTAGCAATCTAGAAGAAGGTTTAAATTCAACCATGATTGTATTTGCTGACAATTTTAAAAATCAGAGGGGGAGCAAATGAGAAGAAAAAGTCCAAACTGCAATGGCTTAGAACAGTAGGCTGCGTGCAACAGCATGAGATTCAATGCTGATAAAACAAATGCATAGTTGTGCAGTGAGGGAGAAGAATAAATAAAAAGCACAGGTATAAGCAGGGGACAGATAACTAGAAAGTAGCCAGTTTGAGAAAAGCCTTGGGTGAGAGATAGCAAACTTGCTAACTGAACACAGGTTTGCAGTATGAATTTGATGAAATAAAAAACATGGCTAACATTGTTCAATATACTTAGGGAGATTACATATGAAATTAGGGAAGAAGATTGCTCTCCGTAATCCTGAGGCAACGCATTTGAAACTTTACATGAAGATCACCTCACCACAATTCAAGTTCTGATGCCCCTATTTTTGTCATCGTTATGTTGCCTCCGGCACTCCTCTGCATAGCAAAATGTGAGACAGTACAAAGCTGGGCAACAAGTAGGAGGCAATGACTGGAATTTAAACAGAATGAAGAGAGACTACCCGGATCAGCGGGTAGTGATCGATCTATCGGGGATTGATATATTGCATCTATCAATCCCCGAATCAATGCCTGTAGTCCACCTCGGCAGGAGGAGTAAGAGGAGTCGACAGGGGAGCTGCCGCGGTTGACTCGCCACTGTGAGGACGGCCAGGTCAGTCAAACTAAGATACTTCGACTTCAGCTACGCGAATAGTGTAGCTGAAGTTGAGTGTCTTAGTTTAAATCCCCCCACAATGTAGTCCAGGCCTCAGGTCCTGATCCTGTGAGATGCTGACTTCACTGGAAGTTGAGGAGACTCAGAATTGTGCAGGAAAAGGCTCTAAAATAGTAACATTTATATAACCCAGAAAAGTAAAGGTGAGAGCAAGAATGAGAGACCGTCACCATCTCTGAAAATCTTTTAACTAAGCATATACATGAAGACAGAAATTTAATTTATAGTCTCAGAAGAGAATGAACAATGGTCCAAGTCTAAGGAGGGAAAAGTTTAGGCTTTTGTCAGGGAAAGTTTCTTAAGAGCAACAGAAATTGGGAAGTGGAATAAACTAAGAGAGCTCTAGATATTCCAGAGCAGGTTTGACTTAGAATAGTCCTATAAAATGCCACCGGGTGGGGCCATTATTTGATTATAGTGTTTTGCCCATCCTATTTTCCACTATTCTCCTTCACCATTCTGGTCATAAAGCAAACTAGCCCTGAACCTAGTAGTCAGCCAAGTTGCTCAGTTATTCCCATTTTATAATTATTAGTAATAAAATATCACTAAAATCAAATTGATTAAAACATTAAGAGCCAGATTCTGATACATTTGCTCAAGTTGGGCAGTACCTTATTTCTGGAGTAGTCTATTGGTTTCAGTGGGACTCACTTGGTTTCAGTGGGGCCATTTGTGGAGTAAAATACTATTCTGAATGAATAAGAGAATCAGAAATTTGCCCTTAATGTTTGGCCTCAATCAGTTTGGTCTAAAATAACTATGGTTTGCAGCATAGAACGTGATCTCATTAAATCTTTAGACCTCATTAGATCAATTCTATGTTTCATCCAATTAAAATAACAAGCAAATAGTCTTCTTGACTTCCTGTTTCTCAGTTGCTGGTGGTGTTAGTTAGACTCGCACCCCAGAAGTGGCTGCATTCTGGTGATAGATGAAGTGATTCCAATAATATAGTTTTATAATTCTGCAAAGCACTCTGAGACTTGAGAAAGACCCTGGAGTATTACACTCAATAAGAGAGAAGAGAAAGAAAAACAAGAAACTGCGTAATGACAGATAAATACCCTAAATGGATTCACAAATATAAAATGAGCAGATTTGCAGTCAGGAGAAAAAGATGGGGTGGAGTGTATTCAAAGCACATGTAGTACAGATCTAACTGTTGAGCAACGGGAGCAAAATGATTAGCTCACTGTCCTCTGAGATGTGCCCCCTGGAGCACAAGTCAGGATATTTGAATTCAGGTTCAAACTTTCCCAGTTCAGAGTTTAAAATCCAGTTCTCTAGTTCAAGCCCATCTTTAATTATACTATTGATTTTAGCCCCCAGGGCCACATACTAGAGGCCATGTGACCTAGTCATGGGGACCTGCAAATAATACAAAAGAGTAACTTGTTTTCTGGTCAGTGGTTTAATAAGTGCAGGAGACAGCAAGAAAACAGCTTATTGTAGACACGCTGGAATTGATGAGCTAGTAGTCACTTATTTTTTGATATATCTGGCTCTGCTCAAATATTTTACAGCTCTGGATAAAGAAGTCTACTTGCAAAAAAGACAATCTAAAAAAGAATTCCTTGAGCCAGATTCCACTTTGAGTTACCCCCATAAAGCCCCTTTAAAATCAATGGGGCTATACAGAGGTAATAGGGAGCAGAATTTGGCCCCTTATCTTTAAAGAGGAACTGATCACAAAACTAAAATGTAATAGTAGCTTAGGTACAAGTACTCATGACTTGATCACATTTATAACATGCAAGCAGAACAACAACTTGGGTTTAGAGGGGAAGTGAAGGTATCTATAAAAATAATATATAACAAATGGAAGAAAGGGGAAATTCATAGGAATTAATATAAATCAGAAGTTTGGAACTGTAGAAAATGGATAAGGAAAGCAAAGGGTCACAAGGAGAAATCTATAGCCAGCAGAGTTAAGGATAATTAGGAATCTTTTATATATATATATATATATATAAACAAAATGAGTCCTGAGAATGATATTGGTCCATTACTCAATGGAAATGGTAAAATTATCAATAATAATGCAGAAAAGTCAGACGTGTTCAATAAATACTTCTGTTCTGTATTTGGGAGGAAAAACAGATGATATAGTCTCATCATATGGTGATAACACTTTTTCCATTCCACTAGTATTTCTGGAGGATGTTAAATAGAAGCTACTGAAGTTGGACATTTTTAAATAAGCACTTCCAGATACTAAGAGTTTTTAAAGAGCTGGCTAAGAAACTTGCTGAACCATTAATGTTGTTTTTCAATAAGTCTTGGAGTACTGGAGAAGTTCCAGAGGATTGGAAGAAAGCTAATGTGCCAAGTTTCAAAAAGGGTAAACAGAATGACCCTGGTAATTATCATCCTGACAACCTGACATCGATCCTAGGCAAGATAATGAAATGGCTGATCCAGGACTTGATAAATAAAGAATTTAAGGAATGTAATGTAATTGATGTGAACCAACATGGCTTTAAGGAGAATAGATCCTGTCAAATTACCTTGATATCTTTTTTTGATGAGATTACAAGTTTGGCTGATAAAGGTAATAGTGTTGATGTAATATACTTAGAGATCTCTAAGGCATTTGACTTGATACCACACTATATTTTGATTAAAAAGCTAGAATAATATAAAATTAACATCACACACATTAAAAGGGGTAAAATCTGGCTAACTGGTAGGTCTCAAAAAGTAACTATAAACAGGGAATAGTCATCGAACAGGTGTGTTTCTAGAGGAGTCCCACAGGGATCAGTTCTTGGCTCTACATTATTTAACATTTTTATCAATGACCTGGAAGAAAACAAAATCGTCACTGATAAAATTTTCAGATGGCACAAAAATTGGGGGAGGGGGGGTAAATAATGAAGAGGACAGGTCACTGATTCAGAGCAATATGGATGGCTTGGTAAACCTGGTGCAAACAAACAATATACCTTTTAAATACAGCTAAATGTAAATGTATACAGCTAGGAACAAAGAATGTAGGCCTTTTTTACAGAATGGGGTTCTCTATCCTGAGAAGCAATGACCCTGAAAAAGATTTGGTGGATAATCAGCTGAATGTGAACTCCCAGTGGGACACTGGCCAAAAGAGCTAATACAATCTTGGGATGCATAAACAAGGAAATCTCAAGTAGGAGTAGAGAGGTTATTTTACCTCTGTATCGGCACTGTTGCGATTGCAGCGGGAATACTGTGTCCAGTTCTGGAGCCCACTATTCTTGTGTATACTTTACCTGATGGTAAATGTGGTATTATGATATAGCTGTATATATCTTGTATGTGCCACCAACAGACAAGTGGTGGCATCACTATCTACTTTGCTGTATATACTTTATCACTGGCTGGTAAGTGTGGCATTTCTTCTAGGTTTTAACAACAGAGTAAGATTCATCAAGTGTCCAAATTGGAGTGCATTTTAAAATGGAGAAGACATTTTTTTTAAAAGTTGCACAAAATGGTCCTTTTCTCTAACTCATAGGGGTCCCACAGGATACAGAGCCCATAGCCTATAAACACTAACTGCACACCACAGTATCTCGCCAAAACCCATGGTTTTCAATTACACTGCTTTGCGTGTGCCTCAGGGTGTGACACAGAATAGACACTTGAACCTCTTCAGGCTTGTCTTCAGAGCACAGCAAAGCACATTAGAGATTTGTAGCACGCTCTACTGTGCTTCACACTAACTGCCCCGAGTAAACCCTGCTAGCATGAACTAACAGTTCATACCAACAGGGTCAACATGGGACAGCTAGAGCGCAGCATGTTAGAGCTCTATAAATCACACCCCTGAAGTGGGCTTTACCACACCTTCTAAACAAGCCCTTAGTGATTCTTTGTCATCACACAGTCTGTGTGGACTGGAGATATGGCTGCCTGTGCTCTCACCAGCTTTGATAGATTGGAGAACATGCTTTTCATGTACCTGTAATCTGAAATAGTGAAGCTATTACAATTCCTTTCTAATACAGATATTGACATTCACCTCCAAACACGGTGCACTCAGTGCTACCTGCAAACCCTGCTGAAAAGAATGGACACTTCAGGCTAGATTCACAAAGAACTTAGTTGCCTAACTGACACTTCAGGCAAGTAAAGGCTCAACACACTCTGCCATCTGTCCAGTTTTATGGGCTCAGGATCATCCTGGATGTCCCAATTTTTTGTATTTCAGAGGGAGCAATGCTAGAGAAGAGGAGAAGCGCAGTAGTGCATAACTAGCGCAGTAGTGGGAGTGGGAGACCCAGGATCCAATCCCCCTGCTCCAACTGCTTCAACAGGAGAGCCTCAGGGTGCCTTATTTCAGAATATCCCATAGTGCAGTGGTTAGAGTACTCACCAGAGAGGTGGCAGATCCCAGTTCATATCCCTTCTCCCCTCAGGTGGATTGGGGACTTGAACTCTAACCACGGGGCTAAGAGTTATGAGGGAGATGGTACCCCCCGCCCATCGTCCTCCTCCATCCAACTTCTTGCAAAAACAGCATAGGTGCCTAACACCAAGAGAGGGTTTGCAGCTGGGAATCCCAAGCCGAGGGAGGCATCTCCCTGCAGCCTCAATTTAGGTGCCTATCTCTGTGAGAGGGGTGGGGTTTATGTCACACACTTGGCATCTCCCATTCTCTAGTTCAGGTGGGGAGCAGTCTCGCCTGCTGGTTTATGTGAATCCCTTTTGAGGTGCCTCTCTCTCTCTGTTCATTGCGTAGGAAGCCTAGGCACCTAACTCAGGCTTCGTGAATCCCAGTCAGTGATATTCTAGGCATCTAAAAGTTAGGCGTGGCGATGGTGAGCATCACCACACTATGTTTCTTTGTAAATCTAGCCCTTCTTTGTCTTTGCAACTCTTCCTAGAATCATCACTCCAGAAAAAGTGCACTAGGGTCAGTGATTTTGTGAGTGCAAAAATATGCTGTCGGGGTTGTGCTACTGTGGTGTAAGACCTGTAGGATACCAGTGCAACATGGCAGTTCAGAATACACTGAGTAGGGTACTGACAGCTAAAAACAATATTTGAGGTCTTCCCCAGATGCGATTATTCTGCAAGGAAAACACATACCTTTATAGTCTCAGGGAGGTTAAGCTGTTGTCTTTTCTCCTTTAATCGCTTCATTACGATATCCATGGTTTCTTCGACGGATGGACTTGGTTCAGTACTTGCTGCTTCTTGCTTCCTGGTCTCCTTATATATTCCAGTGCTCTCCTGCTGCACAATTCTTTTGGGTGCTTTAGGGGTACAATTTTGCTCTTCTGACATTTTGAGTTTAAGCTCTGTTCAAAAAAGCAAGTTACTTGGCAAATGAGTTTTTAAATAAATATTTGTCAAAAGGTTTCTTCTGACACTATAGGAAAAACACCCCAGCTCCTGTGTTAGTTTGTTAACATACCACAATCATTTGGAAAATTAATAATCCTTAATTTGAGTTTTTAATTCCCCTGCCCCTCATCTGAGAGCATTCACTCAAACAGGCGGGAATCAGGTGCAGCATAAACAGCAGAAGTTGCCAGGTGGCATAGAGCTGCCGCTACCCCATATCACCACCCTTCCAAGCCCCTTACATAGTGGGTGTGACCATGGACAAGGAAGTAGGCCAGGCAGCCACTATGCCTGGCTGATCTCCACTGCCAGAATGATGTCCAGCATCAGACAAGGCATCCATTATATTATTGTAACATGATGTTACAGTGGGGACCAGTTTGGACCCTGGCCAGCCTTGGATTGAGTCTAAACATGACTTAAAGACACCCATAGTTCCTAGGATGTGGGAAGAAGTGAAGAGGTGTGGACAGGGCACTGGCCTGAGACTTCGGAGCTTGGACTCTATTCCTGAATCTGCCACTGGTCTACTGGTTGACCTTGGGCAAGTCATTTCACCTCTTTCTGCCTTACTTTTCCTGATTCTAAAATAGCACCAATGAGTCTTACTTTCTTTGTAAAAGAACCCAATACTTCAAAAACTCACACAAGCATTTAAATTTACTACTGCGAGTACTCCCACTGAAATCAATGGCACTTCTCATGGTAGTAAAGTTAAGCATGTGTTCAACTGTTTGCCGGATCAGGGTCTTTAAGGTGTATGAAAATTTACGTATGAGAATTGGGTTTTATCATTTTGAAAGATAATCAATTCAAAGTGGCAATTTACAGGAGATTACGCGTGTAGTTTGGCCATTTTACAGCTATTTTGCTTTTCTTTAGTTAAAAAAAGGTTTATTTTAAAAACGTCTTGTGACAATGCAGACTAATCACTTGATATTTAAGAGAGGGATTTTCAAATGAGTTCAGAGAGAGTTTGGTGCCCACCTCTCACTCACTGTCAATGGGAGTTGAGTTTCTAGACCCTTTAACCACTTATCAAAATCCCACCCTACAGTACTGAAGTGTAATACTATGATTCACTTAATGGTGAAAATGGATCTAACACAAAAATGATTCTTTTATTACTTAAAAATAGCTTGTGTTTTATTTTATTTTTTTTTAAATCAATAGTGGCTACATTTTCCCCTTGGTTACGCATATGTTGCTCCCCAGGGAGCATGGTCAATGGAGCCACGTACAGGCTGTCAAGGGAAAAATCTGACCTTTGGTATTAAATCTCATTTCAGGCAAGAGGCTATTTTTATGCCCAAATAATATGTGCTTTAAAATGGAGTTCTGTAATTTAAATTCAACAAACCCCCTTTACCATTGCAATGTGAAATGTATCAGTATAACAAACCCATTAACTTGGCAATTATGTACAGTATGCTAATGATGCTGAAACAACAATCAGACAAACATTGAGGCTAATATTTAAAATTGTATCTCTGTTTGCAAGAATGTTGATAGTTACGAAGAAGCTCTCTCTTTTTCAGCTCTATTGAATAGGGTTGAACTGACTCTCCCCAAGCATGGCTGGGAGAGATTGGCGCTGCATATGCCATTTCATCTTTCTTTTTGTCATTAGGGAGCCTTAGTGAAATAGAAGTAGGGGGCAAAGAGCAGAAAACAAATACTAAAATGCTCCTACTGCATTAGCAGAGCTTTACAAAGTTTCCAGTATTATGAAATTCCCCACTGTGCAATAAAATGGAACTATACGCTATTATGTACCTTTGAGCTGTTTACGACCTTTAGCCAAGTCATTCATCCATTTCAGGACTTCAGGATTGGAAGTTTTGTCACCATGTGAAGGCTGCACATAAGAGAACAGAAAAGAACTGATGATGGGACTGTTCCTTTTCCTGTATTCTCTATGGACTGATCCTGCAAAGAGAGTCAATGCACAGTGCATAAGGTTCAGCATGTGCGTGAGTCTTTGCAGATTCAGGCCTATGTTTGTAAAAATCAAACTTCTGCTCCATGGAGCAGGAATTCTGATGATACTCCCAATACACTTATCCAATAAAGAAATAGCTTCTTTAAAATACAAAATATTTCAGAACATAGATTCCATGTGAATCATAGTGAAGGATGAGATATATTTCTTTCCCTTATACAAAAAAGAATAGGCATCTACCTAATCCTTCTACACCCCCTCCCCCAATAGGGTGGTCATTGTCAACATTTCTATTCAAGGATCCCCTCCCAGGACCTCATTGTTATTTATCAGGATCTATTCAGGACCCTCTCCCATTTAACAGTATGAGAAGGGCAGGGTGGTCACAACAGCCTGAGACCAGTTTGTGACCGGATACCTTAGGTCAAAAAAGTATTCCCTAGCGGAACCCGGAAGATCTCCCCCATTCACAGCCACACTCTTCCAAACTGAAGGAGACTGCATGGGATTCACTTTGGTGTCTATCCAGGTGTGAGGAACTGTGACAAGGTGCCTTATAGTGACAGCCTATATATGAGCCACATCAGGTTACCGTGGTCCATGTAGATGGTGATTCTTCCACACATCATATAGCCAGAAATACTTATGATCTCAAATCACTGCTAAGCATTATATTACATACACTGTCCATTTGACATGTTTGGCTCAATTATGCTATTAATCTGTCATGTTTATTATCTTCTTGGATTGGGGCTCGATAATGCAAAGTGCTGAGCATTTTGCCCCTGGTCTTACACACATGCTAAACTGTATGTGAGAGTAGTCTCATTGACTTCAGTGAGATTACTTACATGCTTAAAGTTTAGCATGTGCAGGATTTGCAGGATGGCAGTCCAAATGCTCAACACTTTTCCGGATGGAGCCCTTACTGCAGTCCTTAAGACCAGGGTGCCTAAAATCTTTGAAAAGTAATATTTTATGCATTTCAGCTCAAATTTTTCACCCAATTTAATTGAAAAACCTGTAAAATGTGATTTAAATCTGTGCAAACACTGCTACCAAGATAATCTTCCTCTCCTACTCCAGCCATGTCGTCTTCTCCTTGAGTCTCTACTGGCTTCCTTTCCACTTCCCTCCTGTATGTAGTTCAAGCTTTTCTCCACTGTCAAAGCAAAAGACTGCTCCTGACTACAGCCTTTCACTGCCTTCATCTCCTCCCTCTTTTGATTCCTGTCAGCATTTACTGTACAGTGGTAGTTGCACAGAATCAAAACAGAAACTTTTTAAAAAGACTGAACACCCACAGTAATTTAAACATATTGTGTAGGAGAGAACGGCTTTGGGAGGGAGTTAAGCAGGGGGGGAGGTGGGGGGATGCTGTGAGCCTTCCTGCCTGCCTAGTTCATCTGCCACATGCCTGTTTTTAAAAAAGTCATACAGTGACTTAACTGCTTCCCTTGCTGTATGTGGCAGTGAGACTAGTGATTCATCCACTCTCCTTCCACCTGACCGAGTCTTAAGGTCACACACTCACTGCTCCCCTCTCTGTATCTAGTACTATTAATTCATTCACTGTACCCAGTGGGACTGCTTACATATCCCAGGTCTTTGTGAGGTCACTAGATGGACACCCCTCTGTATCCTGAAGGACTGCTTACTTACTCAAGCCTCTATGAGGTCAGTGATGTGATCACCACCATACCCTTCAGGATTGATCCTGATGATTTATATGACAGAAATATTATCTATGTGATTGCCCTGTGCTTTCTTCATCAACTCTCCTGAAGGTCAGAAGAGGATTATTAGTTTAGCTGTGGTAATATTAAGAGTACTACACTTGACACTCGCTTCTGCTTCCCAGATCAATGGTTTCCCCCAACCCTATTCAAGTATCTATACAAAAAGGGATGGATGAAAATCTTTTCATTTTTATTACTTCCAGGGTTGCCCCGGTGTTTATTTGGGTTTACCAACTAGTAAGCACAAGTGTTATTCAAATCCCAATGTTGGCCATCTAGCTATACACACACACTTGGCAGAAGGATCTTAAAATACCTTTTAAAATGACTGCAGCAATACAGGGCCTAAAAAATCATAATTCTCTGAATAGATATAGACCACAATGAAAGTTGTTCATGCCCACTACCTTTCATTGACTATCACTTATACCAGCCCCATGACATACAAAATGGGGAAGTAAATCCCACTCAGCTCCCTGACTTCCCCTTTTTAGACAAAATTCCAGGGAAATCTCCAGTTTGAGGGAGTGGAGTCTGTTGATCTTGTGCCTCTCTCTGTAAACTACACAGAGGTGTAGCCCTGAAAAAGGTTGCTGAATAATGACCAGTGATGAAGATGATGAATCCCAAGGTCTGGAAGTGGGGTCAAGGCTGTGGCATAATATTCTGATTATTTAATTTATTTTACAACATCTATCTCTACCTAGCTATAAGAAACTCAATATGGAAAGGGATAAATATGTCTGTTTTTTATGTTCCATGGCTGCCACCAAAATCTCATAGATGCAGCAAAGTTCTTCTGCTTTAAAGAGTGCTATCTTCCACCATTTGAGCTGAAGGAGAATCTCTATAAGATGTCAGTAATATTAGGGCTTATATTCTCTTTACTGACCAATCATTAGAGAGCAATATAATGTCAAACAGAGAAGGAGGTCTGATTCCAACAAAGTAAGGTTGGAAGGTGCTTATTATTTTTACACACTATAGCAGTAGCTGTAATATACCATAGTAGTAGCAAAGGAGCACCATGGCCTCCAAGGAAACTGTTTTCCCTTTCAGACACCAGCGGAATTCTCTGACAGATGATGGGATACTACCGATGCCACAACTTATGTATGGGGAAACTGCACAAGAGGATGAAACCTCACAGACCTCCACTCACACCACACAATATCCTATACCCTAGAGATGAATGACTCCTTAGCTTTTGCTTTAGCCAGAGTCAATACTTGGGGCTCTCTCTACCATATATTGTACATCTCAGGACAGGGATACCACTTAGCCACACACCAGAGCCTTCATTTTTTATTTGACAAATGACTTCTAAAGAATGTTATTGTTTTGTTGATTTTTTCAAAAGATAACTCAGTCTGCATGAATGAGAAAAACTACATAGCAGAACACAGTTGCCAAGCAAATAATTTTATCTACAATGCAAGTAAGAAGCTATTTATAAGTATCAGAACTTTCCTTTGTCTTACAGATTTTCAGGATATTTTAAAGTAGTTAAATGTTACCATCACCCATCCTGATTGATGGATACTCCCCAATGAAGGTAACTCAAAACAGAGCTTCACAATTTTAGCCTGTAATCACTCAGATATCGTTTTTTCCCCTATTATTTTGCAAGAAGCAATTCTTCCTACACCTTTAAGGACGATATCTGTAATACATGGAGCATTCTTATTTTCTCCAATTATTTTATTTTATTATTCTTATTACCTCCATCTTATTTTCTCCAATTATTTTCTTACCCGATATTTTTTTTCTTCTTCAAACTTTTCTTCAAACTTCCTGATTTTTCTCTTCAGACTTTGAAGATGTTTGGTAAGTTGCATTACTGTCTGCGGTTCTTTGCAGTCCTCACAATTACACCTGGAAGAACTTCTTGGCCTGCAAAAGTAGAAGTAATAAAGTCTCTGTTAATGCAAACAACACTTCTGAACTCCTCCCATGAAATCAGAACTATAGTCACACAGAACCATCTCTAGTCTAAATCACATGTAAATTGTGTTAGAACTCCAGATGTTTCTCCTATAGGTAGGCACAAGGAGAAATGGTTAGGCTTTATGAAGTAAATATATGAAATATCTGTTTTTCTTTGAAGGTGGCATAGTGTTTCGTGGGCAGCACCCACCTTTCCTACCTTACTTTGATCATTAAGTGTGGGATTCTGAAAAGGTCTCAGCATTGGCCTAACTTTTGAAAATCGTTTTGAAAATCCCACCCTAACAGGCCAGATTTTGATACCTTTGTTCACACTTAATAATAGCACCTACTCCATGAGTAGTCCCACTGACTTCAATTAAATTCTTTGTGGAGTAAGGTGTGATGCGATGTGAATAAGGGGAACAGAAAATGGCACTTCTTTTATATGAAGTGCATTTAGGGCCAATTTCAGGAAGATACTAATTCCCGAATCAGACCCTAGGGCAGCCTATCATGATTTCTGTAGATTAGAATTAATTACTGGCACCAACTGGTGAAAATGTAGTACTGAAAATCAAAGCTTGTCACAACTCCAATCCACAGGAAATATTAATATTTCAAAATTTATTTTTGTTCCAAATCAGAACAAACATTTTTTTTAAAAAATTTCCCATAGAACAAAAATTCAGAAAAAAAGTTGAGTAAATTGAAATATTTCATTTCAATAAAATTAAAATGTTACATTCCAATTTTGACTTTTTTCTTATTTTATATTGCATTATAATTTATAATATAATGAAAGAAATTCAAAACAAAATTAATTTTCAAAATACAAAAATCCTTATAATTATTCTTTTAAATTTTAAACAGAATTTTGTCAAAATCAACGTGTTCTCACAAAATGTTTAGATTTTGGGAAAATGGCATTTTCTGGCAGGAAAATATTGTGTCAGAAAGTTTTCAATCAGCTCCACTGAAAATGATTCAGACTAATTTCCATGCACCAAAAAAATGGGTTTGATGAACAAAAATGTTATTTTTTTAAAGTTTGTTTTATTTCAAGTTAAAATATTTGTACATTTTAATTTTGGACTTTAAAACATAGACGTGTTCATTTAAGAGTTAGTCACCATAAGTTGCCAAGAACTTGGAAAAAGCACTAACTATTTCATTATTATAGTGCCTTCTATTCTACAGGAATTTAGCATTGCAATGGAGAGTTTATCCTTACTGGCAATAGGCTTAAACATTTTGTAGGATATTTCATGTGAGACTTTTTAGATTTGTGAATAAATAGGCTTGATTATTTCTATTTGCCTAAACTTTATTTTTAAGATTTAAAGAAAACAGAGTTCCAGAATGAAATTAATTCTAAGAATTTCCGAAAAGGACTTACAAGGACTATTCAGATGTTTTGTGACATTGCCTTCCATTTCCAATGAATGACTCATGCAGTAATTCCATTGCAGTTGAACTTTTCTGAATTAGACCTTTAATAACCTTTTTTACCCTGTATTCACTTTTCAGACTGATTATGAACTAACCTTTAAAAATGTCATTACTAAACTATAATTAACTGAGATTGCAGCTAATGTTGTACTTCGTTCATATTGGAAAATGTTAGGTCATATTTATGGTATTTCAAATTAATCATGCCAAATTATATTATATTATGAAACATCCCTGTTTAGAGCAAATGACATGACCATATATGAGAAATATGAAGAGTCAAATGTTCTAGACTGTACAAACATAATAAAAAATAAAGTTAAAAATGTATTTTCTTACATCATGAAAGGCTGAGCACTTGGTGGGGAAGGGGCCGATTCTGTGTCTAAATTAAATCTCTGGCTTTGACTAAAGATTGAGCAGCGTGGTGACAGAAGGGGATTATCTCCATCAGTAATATGATATAGTAGTCTACTGGTCCCTAAGGAGCGATGATCTTCTGGGCCGTTGTCTGCATCACTCTGCCAGTCTCTATGGGCTGGTACAGGCTCTATAACGACAAGATCAAATCAATATGGGACTGAAGGTCTCTCACAAAACACCCTAATTCGTTAGCTATAGAGGTAAATAAGAATCTATGTGAACAAATGTGTTCATAGAAGCAAAGTGTGCTGCTTGAAAACTTTTCAGTTGATACAATGAATAATATATGGTATAGCAATGCAGCATATACTGGTAGAACATGGTACCAAATCAGAGCATAACAAAGGATACATAGGTTACAACGACTGGTGTAACACCGTACTCTGAGGTCCACAATGGAATATAGATAGGTGTCTGTGTGTGTAAAAATAAACCATAAGGTTTTGTTAAAAGAAAGATAGTAAATTTCTCAGAATAAAAGCATTGTCTCTGTTTTTATAGATCAGTTTTCGCTGAAATGCACTCTTTGCAGAAGAATATGAAGATAGATGTAAAACAAGACTCATTCCCTAATTTAGGGCTCAGTCCTTTGCTCAGGAGGAGAATAGGACACATCTGCAGAAGTAACACATTTTAGGACCCTATCATGCAGCATATTGAGTGCTACTAGCCTGGTGACCCATATCCTGTAGAATTCTGCTCTTAATTCTCAGGGTAAAATGCCACTCAGCAGAAAATTACTAACCCATTCAGATCAATGCATATGAACAGAAGATTGAAACTGATTGGGTAAACAGTAAAATGTAAGTGCTGCACTCTGTCTGTTGCCTTGGGGTGTTAGGTATATGACATTATGCTAGCAATGTCCCCATGCATTAATGGGCGCATAGGCTCCTAAGGAGCGGATTGTGCCTAGTGTATAAGAGAGGGAATGCAAAAGGAGCATTTTCAACAGTGAGCTTAATTAACCATTGGAACAACTTGCACCAAGGACGTGGTGGATCCTCCATCACTTGAAGTCTTTAAATCAAGACTGGATGTGTTTCTAAAAGATATTCTGTAGCTCAAACACAAGATCCAGCTTGATGTAGGGAACACTAGGTGAAATTCTGCAGCCTCTGTTAAGCAGGAGGTCAGACTAGATGATCGTAATGGTCCCTTCTGGTCTTAAATCTATCTGTCTATGAACCTCACCTCCCTCCTTTTGCTCACTGGCAACAAGACTTGCATAGTACTGTACTATCCATATCCTGCCCTGACTCTCCATTGAAAGGGTGAGAATCCTGGTTCCCTCTTCCTCAACCTTACACAAAATAGGCCAGAATTTCATCCTTAAGTAGGTTTTTTTTTTCCTGTGGGGAGTGCTTTTATGACGATTCCGCTTCATGATGGAGAAATCCTGTACCAATCTACAAAGCCCTGTTGAAAATATATGTACAAACAAGTTACAAAAGCCAGAATAGAATTCTCAATGCCAAAAGAGAGTTTTCTCTCAGCTACATGGGTAGAGATTTTCATCTATATTAACAATTAATGTATTATAGTGTAACTAGGCAAAGTTGATTTTATTATTTTCCCTCTAAAATTGTATCTATATGTAAAAATGGAGTCTGCATCAATTATTTTTATATTTAATGTAGGTTCATACCATGAATTAGTTGTGTATCATACATACATCACAAGGGATTCCTTATAGCATATATTTCTCAGATATTTCAGCAGGAGAAATTGAACATTAATTTGCTCCCAGATCTGCAAGGAGATGCCAGTTAAGCAGCAGATCTGAAAATGTTCCTTCACCTTTGCTTTTAATTAAAAATGAAATTTTAATCAATGATGTTACAAAAATTCAGAAGACATACCTCTACCTCCTATTAATTTAGAGCACTACGTTGTGGATTTCCCCGTGGTGGGGGGTAGGACTTGCAGAGATAAAAAGGCCATTTCCCTTAAGATTTTGATGGAACTGTTATACTGTATTTTAATTAATATCTGCACAATAGATAATGAAGCTCACTGAGCTTGTTTAGCAGTGGGAAAATAGTGGCTCCAAGCAGCCTCCCTCCTTGAAAGCAGAAAATTGGGTACCTTCAAAATAAATATTATTTTATCAGACATAGTCCAATTGTTTCTATGTTACAGGCAACACAATACCAAATGTTCCTAAATTGTGTAATTATGGGTCAGCACAGGTCATGCACAGTCTCTGCATGGCTTTTATATCTTTTGATAAATTTGTTCATACTGGTTCCTCTTTCCATGGAATTATTTAAGGGGATGAGAGTACAAATGGGGAGAAAATGTTTTTTCTGTCCTGCAAAATATTTCAAGATTTCAAAATTGTTCTCAGTCCATACTGGGATGAAACTGAGACCTTGCAAAAAAAACTGCTGCACAGAGAGAAAGGAAATAGCCAATACCCCAGTGCTTATGGCACCCTTCTGGGATGTGGAAGACAGAAGACCCGGGTTCAAGTCCCTGCTCTACCTGATTTATGGCCCAGGATGGAATTTCTGGTCAAATGAGAGCATGAGAGAGAGACCAAGCCCCACCTCAGAATAGCCAATAGCGAAGTGACTAGGGCACTCCCTCATCTCAGGTGTTTGCCCTAACCACCAGGCTTATTGGCTGTGCTGGGGTGGGTCTCTCTCCATCTTTCCTCTTGGAGCTGTTGGGGCATTCTCCTGGGATGTGGGAGTGCCATAACCACTGGGCTATTAGAATATCAGGGTTGGAAGGGACCTCAGGAGGTCATCTAGTCCAACCCCTGCTCAAAGCAGGACCTAATCCCCAACTAACTCATCCCAGCCACGGTTTTGTCAAGCCTAACCTTAAAAACCTCTAAGGAAGGAGATTCCACCACCTCCCTCGGTAACCCATTCCAGTGCTTCACCACCCTCCTAGTAAAAAAGTTTTTCCTAATATCCAACCTAAACCTACCCCACTGCAATTTGAGACCATTACTCCTTGTTCTATCATCTGCTACCGCTGTGAACAGTCTAGATCCATCCTCTTTGGAACCCCCTTTCAGGTAGTTGAAAGCAGCTATCAAATCTGCCCTCATTCTTCTCTTCTGCAGACTAAATAACCCCAGTTCCCTCAGCCTCTCCTCAGAAGTCATGTGCTCCAGTCCCCTAATCATTTTTGTTGCCCTCTGCTGGACTCTTTCCAATTTTTCCACAACCTTCTTGTAATGTGGGGCCCAAAACTGGACACAGTACTCCAGATGAGGCCTCACCAATGCCGAATAGAGGGAAAGGATCACGTCCCTCGATCTGCTGGCAGTGCTCCTACTTATACAATTGCCTATTCTGGGGTCGGTCTCTCTCTCTCTCTCTCTGTCTCTTTTGTTTGACCAGAAATTCCATCCTGGACAGAGAAACCTTCCCAAGGAAACTTATCAAAGCCAAGATATTTCTGCGAAAAGTTTCAGTTTCGACTAATTGGCACTTTCTGATGACAATCTATTTCACTGAAAAATTTCCTGACCAGCACTAGTTGTGACAAATAAGGCCAATGTATCTTGTTTGCAATTCTATCCAATAACTTTTGGCTTAATAATTTCTACTTCATTGGTCAAATTCTCCTCTCCAGCACACTAGTAGCTCCTCAGGCTCAGTGGAGTGGGAGAACTGGCTATATTGTTTAATTTGTCTTCACAGGGAAGATGTTGCTGCTTATTGTTGGCCTGGCCAGATAGCTGCACACACAGGTGCTGGAACTAGGGATGCCGGGGGTGTTGCAGCCTCCCCTGACTTAAAGTGGTTTCATTATATACAGGGTTTACAGTTTGGTTCAATGGCTCTCAGCACCCCCACTACAAAAATTGTTCCAGCATTCCTGGCTGCACGGGCAACCGTAATTCTAATTATTTAGCACAACACTTTGCAACCATTATAACATGCTTCTACCATGCTTTTAATGTCATATAGTGTCTGAATAAGTAATGTGGTAAACTGAAAACAAATACTCTATTCACTGTATCGATTAATATTCCAAACAGAACTATTTATATTGCTCCTAAAAATGAAAACAAGTAAAATAAAAATGCAAAATAAAATATTACAAATGCATTTCATTATGTTAAAAATGACAAAATACTCTATTCCAGAGTTACAAAACATCACTTGTTAGCTAACAGTGTAAGCACTATAGAATCCTTTTAATGTAGCTCAATATAAATGACCATTTTACATTTTGTGAACCCATCAAATATAGTGTAAGTTGGTGATTTATAATGAAATGTAAATGTAAATGAAATTAAAAGTTTACACTGTCTTCTATAACTTTCATGGTTATCAACTGACAAAAAACAGATTATAAGACATATATTTTGCAGAATTTATCAAGTATCCAAATCCTTCCTCCAGTGAAATATGCAGAAAGGAATTTTGAAGAAATGTAGGCCATTGTCCCTGCCTAAGTTGGTGACTTGCACAAACAATTCACATGTGAAATAAACAGAGATTAATGAATGCTACATAGCAAAGGTAAACAACAATATTATCTTCTGGCAGTGAATTCTTTCATTGGTTTAGAAGACATAATACAGTTACAGTACATGAATCTAACCTACATTTTTTTTCTCAAAAACAATACTGTGCTGTCCTCTGGAATGAACTGTATTAACTTCTTTCAAATTTCACATAATTTTCCAGCTTTGAGAAACATAAGGAATCATTGTGGGGAGGGGTGGAAATAGCTTCTGCTACTGACCATCTATTAGCATAATTAAAAGGAAGTACTCTTGTCAAGGTTCCTTCCTCACTCTGAACTCTAGGGTACAGATGTGGAGACCTGCATGAAAGACCCCCCTAAGCTTATTCTTACCAGCTTAGGCTAAAAACTTCCCCAAGGTACAAACTTTGCCTTGTCCTCGAACCCTATGCTGCCACCACCAAGCATGTTAAACAAAGAACAGGGAAAGAGCCCACTTGGAGACGTCTTCCCCCAAAATATCCCCCCAAGCCCTACACCCCCTTTCCTGGGGAAGGCTTGATAAAAATCCTCACCAATTTGTTCAGGTGAACACAGACCCAAACCCTTGGATCTTAAGAACAATGAAAAATCAATCAGGTTCTTAAAAGAAGAATTTTAATTAAAGAAAAGGTAAAAGAATCAGCTCTG